CCTAATTAAAGATATAGACAACAGTAAAAACATAACAGATGGTCTAACACTGAGGTGCTCTATTCAAAACTGAAAAAAAAGTTACAACTGAACTTCCAATATATAGCTGAACTACTTGTGCCAGACTTATTTCAAGAGCGTTCTGTTTTTTTTTTGTGGCTATATTTAAAAAAAACAAATAATACAGGAAAAGAACCTTATATGGCAAATGCAAATAAGGTGGTAAATATTTCATACAATTGCTGCATGCATCCCAAAAGCTATAAGTCTTAATTGAGTAAAGGACATTTTTGTAGTCAATATATGGAAATGGAAAATGCAAATGTGGTGTTTTCCTACTCCTGCAAAGACCCTTGAGGTGGCAGCCCTTTTCACAAACGGCCTCAACTTTATTATCAATATAATTTGGCTTCCCGCTTTATGGTCCCAAAAGCCCTTGTTGCTATCTGCCGGCTGCTACAAGAGGAGCAATTGCAGAATTGCTTTGCCACGTTCTGCAGGAGAACATACCCTGGGCACTGCCAGCTTGGCATTGCAAGTGACTTGATATCACCACTTAAACAGGCACAGAGATAAGAGATCCCTGCTCTGGAGCAGAGTAGATTTAAATCTCTTTTACAGGATGGAAGGCAGAGAAAAGAGGAACAACTCAACATATTCCCGGTAAAACGATAAATGCCCTAGGCCTACAGGTGAAAAGCGCACAAAATTTCATCTACTAGTGCAAATTAAGCAATTCCATTTACATAAAAAGAATACAAAAAGTATAACTTATTTACAAATTTTCTTTGCATGATGATTATAATTCCATTTAAAGGCAGAGTTCAATCTCCTAAGACAACTGACAGCAACCTACTTTAGTCCTTGCCACTCTCTTTGAGCTGCTGCAAAGTGACAGCTTAATAGGTGGGTAAACATAAATGTGAAGCTTGTATAGCTGTAGTAACATTGTGTGTTCAATGCATCTTTTTCATAACAGCTTCATGTTTTTGGTTTTTTTTTTTTGTTTTTTTTTTACAGGTTCATAATTTTATTCTTTTGCATCAACTTAAAATATCTAGCCATATAAAATATTTGCTACATAAGGGTTCTCATCGACATACAGGAAGAGTGTCACCATAACTCTAGCAATTTTTCTATGGCAACAAATAATATCAAACAGTCATACACAACAATTTTCAATTGCTAAAAATACTCAAATGCACTTCAGCATAACAACTGGAAGCATGACATTTTAATAAGAAGAAATATGGTGGGCCAGAGAGTTCCTCCTTAACCACTTGAGTGCCAACCAGTATATACCGCCCCATTATTAGGGCATTTTTCGGGTTTCAGTGCTTTGAAAGTTTGACTTGCAATTACTCTGTAACCAAAATGACCATTATATATTTTTTGAGACAGAGATTTCTTTTGGTGGCATTAAAAAAAAAACAAAAAAAACTTATTTTGTTTTTTTATCATATAAAGAAAAATCAAAACAAAATTTTTTGAAAATAATTGTTTTCCATACTTTGTTTTAAAACATTTCAAATAAAGTGCCAGGACACTATGAAAACCCCTGAAATGCCTCCTTTTTGAAAGCTAGACACCCTAAAGTGATCTAATTTTTTCAACAATTTCTGGGAAATGAAGAAACATGCTGGCATTACACTGCTTAAAACAAGGAGCATGCACTAAATGCAGCGCATAAATAAATGTACAGGCCATACACAGGAGGTGAATGGGTTAACCTCCCTGAGGGTCTGATTATGTCAGTATTTTTTCTATTTTTCACTTTTGAATTTCCCGCCGGCGCTCGCAGGGAAGGAACCCGGAAGACGGATGCCGGCATAGGCCAGAGGACACAGCGGGGCTCGTAGGGACAAGGTAAGTGACACTACAGTGTAATCCCGAGTGTGGCTCAGGGTTGCCACTTTTTGTACTGGAGAATAACCCATAGCCATACTCGGGAATACCACCAGGGAGGTTAATGCACAAATTGCATGCAAGGGAAGTATGGAATGGAGAGGGTTAAAGTTCAGATGTGAAGGATTAGGGAGGTGAGGGGTTAATATACAGGCCTCTAAAGACAAGATACAGGTCAAATGTACAGAGGAGGTGGGGGAAATGCAAAGATAAGAAAAAAAAACCCACCAACCCCCCCCCCCCCCACCCCCAGTCATTAGTCCCTCCTTACTCTGTTGGGAGAGGAAAGGTAGGTCCTTAGATGTGAACAGCGGTACCCTACAATTATAGTTTTAATACACACTAATTGACATTTTAAGAATACACTGGATCCTACTGGATTGGATCTGTGCAGCAAACTAGATAGTAGCTTTAAAGTGTATTTCCACTTTTGCGTCCAAATTTGTTTAACACCTACTTTAGATTTGTTACATGTTTGAATTCACATAGTTTTAAAAAATTGCAGCTTACCTTTTAGATGCTCTTTTTCATAAAACTCCATGACTGAAAAATCCTGTTTATTTTTCCCTTTCTATAAGGGGGCTAGGCAATGGCATTTGCCTTAATTAACCCTATCTGTCCTGTGCCAGCAGATCTCCATAACCAGTTTTAAACAAGTCGTACTGTCCGTTCTAACACAGGGTTAAAGATCTCAAGACATTGTGTGTTATTTCATTATCTCCACATTGCCATCTATTCAAGGCAGTAGAAGCTACTAAAAAGCTAGGTAAAATACTTTTTTCAATTATTGTAATGTGGGACCACAAACCTAGTGGGGGGGTTCTCAAATGTGACTGCTAAAGTGTTAACCCCTGAAAAAGTCCATCTCCAGGCAAACCAAAAAACTAAACTGCAAGGGTAGCCACTGCAAGAGGTCAGTGCTCGTTTACATATAAATAAAGAAAAAGCCATTTTACTTACCCGATTCCCACTCCCCCCAAGCTGCTTGACTGATCCCTGCAACTTCTGTTCCCCTTCACTCCGGCGGTCTAAGCACCACTGACATCACGTTTCATTCAGGTTCCATAGACCTGCATTAGATGTGAGGATGCCGAGAGACATTACGACATCTGGAGTGAAGGGGAGAGAGGTGATCACTGACCACCAGGGGAGCATGAATCAGGTAAGTAAAAGAGCTTTACTTCCAAGTCCCCTTGGCATAAATGAGCACTTACACTTGCAGTGTGGGGGTAGCCCCACTGCGAATGGTGGTTTCTTGGCTTGCCCACAGATGGGCTTAAAGTTGTCATGTGAATAAGGGCTTATGTAGATGTTCCTGCATTTTAAACACACAACAAATGCAGGTCAGCAGATTCCCATTGACTTTAAAGGAGTAGGGTAAATGTCAGTTCAGGGGCTGCGTTTGACCCACTCCGCCGTATTTTTCTTTGGACGCAGCATTTGAGGTGTGTTTGAAATGCAGCCTATCCTTGCCAAGTTTTGAATTCAAAGGCATGAGCTTGAGCAGCTCTTCATTCATAGAAGGCCTGCCCTAAGCCTGATTTCCGATTGGTTGCTAGCAGCAGCTTCAGATTACTGCTCTTAGACTCATCGTACTGTAACTGATAATAGGCTCATTTCCCCAAAATGAATGGTTATATTCAACCCACTGCTTATTTTATTTCACAATAACTTTCTACTAAAAATATTCAATTCACAAACAAAATATTATATAGGGGTTATCTTTTCACAGTAGAGGAGTTTTTAACTGGTGAAAGCCCAATTTTCTCACGTGATTTCATTACCACCTCAAACGGCTGTTTTCCTCAACACACGCACGACACAGCACACAATGAAACTCACCAGTATCCCCAGCCTTAAACTACTGTTGTTGTTAAAAGATAACCTGTGTGGTCACCTTTGCGAATTGACTTTATATAAATTTTGTCCCAATGGCTGATAAAATAATACTACAAATTGTTACAAATTTGTAGTGTTATTTTATCAGCCATTGGGATAAAATAGTGGTAGTAGTGGTAAAACAGCACTGCTTACAGGGGAGGGTAAAGAAATCCTAGTGTGTACCTTTGTAAACTGAGCCATTAGAGGTATGAGCTATACCGATATGAAGAAAATGAAGAAAATAATGACTGAACAAGAGAAATACAGGTTTGTAAACACGGTTTGTAAACACAACCTAATGCAAATAAAATTATTTTCAGCTGGATTCATACTAAGGGTTCATACACACGGGCACCTGGGGCCGTACAACATAAATTTGGGTGTACTTCCACACTCGGTGCTATAGGTGATGCATACATCCAACCATAAAAATCAATGGCTGTAAGCAGCTGTAAAATCCTGAATACCAAGTCTACATTCAGGGTTGTATTCATGTATGCAGGTCCGGCATTATAACCATGTGCAGCCACATACAGCCATTGATTTCTATGAGTGGCAGTATGTGCACCTGTTCTCAGGTGGGGAAATAAACCCAAGTTTAAGTTGTACCGCCACAGGCACCAGTGCACATGAGCTGTATTTCTATTTATAAAGTAAGGTTTCAGAAAGAGTGGAGTGAAGACATAAAAAACTAAACTAAAAACTAACAGTGTTGCTGCCCCTAGGTGTTCATTCATTTTTTTTTTACATAAAATTAATTCTAATTGTTAGCAACAACTCAACTTGTCATTTTCTTTTCTCCAGTTTCATTGCCTGTGCCAGTACGTCCCCTACCAATGGCATAGACAAGGAATTCAAATAAGCCAGAAATACCCCCCCCAAAAAACAACATAAAATGAAATCAAAGTATATTTTGCTTTGACAATTCTGAGTTTATGTAACTGCTTGCACTTTGCTGGCTAAATGCTGCAAATTCCTCAAATGTCATGACACAGAAAGAATTGATGTATAATTGCTTCTATATTGTTGACAGTCGACAGGTGCTTTTTGCAAGGCTAAAGAGAAGTGCTTTTTACTTTTAAAAAAAAAAGACCATTTCTCAATATGCACATATTCGGTCTGAAAAAGTGGCGTGATCTACAACTGCAGGAAGGAAACATTCAAGTTTATTAAAAACAGGGGCATTTTGTTTTGTAAAGGACAATACTGCTTACCTATCATGTGGTTGGCAACGTGAATCTGAATTTCTCTTTCATTCTCAAAGGTCATCTGGCACTTGATGCACTGATAGGTCTTCTTCTATTAAATATACAAAATAACAGCAGATTACATAACAGAGTTTCTGGTTGCTTGAGAGATAATAGTGACTCTCAAGCAACTGAAGAAACACCCTTCTACAGAGATGGTATATAAAAGATTCACACATTCTTCCACTTAAATGCAGCAAGTGAAACCAGAGAGGCTGATTGCATTTGTAAAATTATTTTGAATAACCCTTAACTTATATAGCACACCTATATTGTGAGGGTACATTTATATACACTGAAAGCAAACTAAATTTTACATTAAGTTGTCTATGTATGTCAGTGGTGCTCGGTTTGAAATAGGGGGCCTAAAGTGTGGCCCCTGACAGAGGGAAGTACAAATCACAAGTTTTTGTAAATTTACCGTTGATATATTTTTTCCTTGCAATGTTACAACATAGCACATTCAGGAAAAAAATAGTTTTTTGTAAAATAATTAGATAAATGTTAAAGTAGAACACTGGGTATAGAAAAAAAAAAAACATACCCGTGGAGCGGGCTAAACCCATACTGCAAGGGTAAGTGCTCATTTTGTATAGGGGGCTGAAATAAAGCAGATATACCCACCTGAGCCTCCTGCAGCAAGTCAGCACTCATGTCTCTCCCTATGCACTGGCTATGGACTATCCCTCTGCGTCATCATGTCTATTGCAGATCAATGGACCTGCATAAGGTGTGATGATGTTGGAGGTCCTTAAACCTCCGTAACACAAATTTACTTGAGCTCCCTACACAAAATGAGCACTTAACCCTTGCAGTGCGGTGGTAGCCCTACTACAAAAGTACCTTTTTTTGTCTGCTTATTTAAAAGAGAACTATGGGGTAAGTATTTTTCCCCATAGTTCTCTTAAGGGTCACGGGAGGACATATACTAGTGTCCTCCCGTGACCCAAAGCTCAGTATATTGTGAGCTACAGCTTACGGTATAATGAGACCGCACACCCGCGATGGATCCCGACAATGCTGTCGAGATCCACCCAGCTGCGTGAATGACAGCTGGCTCTGCCTATCTAGAGGCAGAGCCAGCTGTACCCGCCCCCTCCCCCATCCGTTCCTCCAGTCAGCGCTGGAGAATCAGAGCGGGAAGGGAGGAATCCCTACGGGGGAGCGGTGACTAATAGTCACTACTCTTTGCAGGGAAATGATCGAGAAGTGAGCGCGCGACTGTATGTGTTCGCTCATTTCCTGATCTATTGAGTCAACGTGTGACAGTTTCATTGTCACACGTCTACTCGAACTGATTTTCACTCAACTCATAGTTCTCCTTTAAGGGGAGTCAGATGTAGAAAACAAAAATGAGTGACAGTGGCATTTTTACAGGTTTGCAAACAAATTTTTAATAACATTGTGCTCACTATTGCAAATGTCATCCTTCCAATGTATTTGTTGGGACTTCATGGGAAAATGTCTTCTTTTAAACCGATTACGTTATGAAATTTGATTACAGCAGAACTTTTTTAATGCAGATACTTGAAAATTGCAAGTTAAAATTAGCACATGCATGCACACTTGCATAATTATGTGGCTTATCCAGAAGGTCTCCCAGCTGCTGTGCAGACATACTAGCAGGACCTGTGATTCTCTACGACCCTTTTGGTTTCGTCTATTGTGGCTGCATAGTCCAGAGGTCATATAATTTCCACACTTCTGTCTCAATATGCTATTATGATACTATATCTGTATGAGGGGCAGAGACCATCACTGCACAGAACAGTGTCCTGTCACTTTCTTTCTCATTTGTTGATGGCTGCATTTTTTTTTTAAACTAGCAACAACTGGCTTAAAAAAATAGCAGAAGGGAGAATAAGGGAGGCATAGAATGCCCTATTACTTATAGAGTTTGTGACAAAGAATGACAGCAGTCTCTACAGAGAATGTTCTGTGAGAAATTGACTATATCACTTACCTCAGACATGAGCACTGCCTTCATCACCTCCCACTGGTGTTGATGAACAGACTTTACAAGATGGCATTTGGATAATGCAAAAAGTAACACAGATATGCCTATGCATGCATGATTCTTGACTTGCAATTTTAAAGCACTTGCAAAAAAGATACTTTAGTTTTGCTTTAAATGATCCTTTATTTCTCCTTCATGGGGGTCTGGAACATAACAGTGGAGACCTGGGCCAGCCTTGCAGCAACAGATCACTTCTAGCAGTGATCTACTGCTGGCTACCATCAGCAAGCTATAGATTATTGTTGGATTCATCTTTTTCTGCAGAGAGGAAAAGTGGGGTGGATAAGCTAAACCCTGGCCTCAATACTGGTCTTATGTATGGCCCTCTTGTAATTTTCCGCAAACAGCCAGTAGTAGATGGACCTGCTGGGTCTTTCTAACAGTTCAACTCTGCTCAGGCTATGTGCAGCACAGTGATTATGTCAGAACTGCTTACATACAATCCAATATCTGGGTTGGCAAGGACATGTGATCTGCACAAAATAAATTTATTTTGATTAAAGCGGTTGAGGACTATATTTGGATAAAAGTTTTTGTGCCTGGAGTCCAGCTTTAAAAGATTGTCAGGGGAAAAAAATAGAAGCTGCTGCTGTTGATTAGTTGAACTATGAGACTACTTCAAAGAGATTAGGCTTTCAATAGCCAATTCCATACATTTAGGTGTCCGGAGTAAAAAGAAAGATTAGTTTTAGGGAGGAACTAGGCTTAGGTCTGTTAAGCTTTTTACTGAATTTCTGTATGAACTGAGCAATAACTGGAACCCAAGATGACCAAATTTCCAGATGATTCAAAGTGACCATCTGCTGTATCAGGCATCAGAGTAAACATCTGTTACCTGCTTATCCCTCTGCATTACCTAGAGACTACCATTTATATTTCATATTATCAGGAGCCCCCATATCAGCATTGCTGCATAGTTAGGAAGGTATCTTTCATTAATCACACAAATCTTGGCACAGTGCACTACATAAACCACTTTGTTAATTTCACTGGAACATTACAATTATTAGTAGACTGTACCCATATGTACTGTGCATACATTTTCACTGAGTTATTACATATGTCCTTTTAGTTACCATATCTAGGTATTAATATATGCTATTGCATGATGCATGTCTAAACTTTGTTCCTTGTGTAAATTGCCAAATTAAATTTGAACTGAAAATGTTGTAAATTATTTCAGTCTTCCATTTAGCAAGGGCTCATGTGTGCTGATAGCCACAAGGATTGTCTGGGACTGTCTGCTTATTTATCATCTTCCTAGGAACACTGTAAACATCAGTATACACTAATGAAATATAATCTCTCTCATACACAATGATGATGAAACACCTTCTTTAATTGCTAAATTATATAAAGCTCTTAATAGTTACCATGGATTAATAAACACATTGGATTTGCTCCATGTCACATACATCAATTTTAGCTAGTGAGCCGATTGGGTCAGCCTACAGACAGTCTACTGCAATTAAGCTTAAAGCAACCCTTTAGGGAAGTATAAGGTGGAAGGAACCACAGCACCCAGTGAGGAACAAGGCATTAACAAAACTGGAACTGTCAGCTACCAGAAGCTCTTCAAGACAGCAAAGATCATCTTATTTTACAGTCTGCTTGTCATTTAATGTTTGGACTGTAGCAGCATGTTCCCCTTCAAGAAACACATAAAAAAAAAAAAAAAAAAAGCGGCAAAAAAAAAAAAGCGGCTTTTGTTTTCCATCTGTATTACATGATTGCTTTGCAGACAGAATATGTGATATACGGTATATCGATATTAAAGCCCAATTCCACTCAGGGTACCAGTTCTAATGGGCTGCAGCAGTGGCATTGCAACAAATGATACATATACCAGGGGTTTTACCAGTAAATGTCTTTCTCTGGTGCATGGCGTTCAATTTTACTGTATGAACTACATACAAACATCAAAAAGAGAGATTAACAAATCGACCCAGAGAGTTAAGGAATCTTCACTTAGGTGATGTGTTTCAGGGCATATGGGGGACCTGACACAAGACAATGAAAACAGACAACTTTATGGATTATTTTTTGACCTCTTTCCCAGGGCAGGTATAGAATCCTACATGTCTAAATAATAAACAGGAAAGGTCCACATAAGTACCCCTTTTCCAGTACCAATCCTGTGATGGACAGACAAATCAGCAGAAGGCTTTAAGATGGTATTTTATTTTTTTTAGGTCCAATGCTGTGAGACATATGGACTAACATTACTATAACAAGGAGTCTGCATACCCCTTGCAATGGTAATATCAGCTAGTATGCCTGGGATGCCAGGTTGGTATCAAAGGGATGTCATTCTTTTTGTTTCTTTTAAAATGTTAATTGGGACAAATTGACTGACAAATCGAATCTTATTAAACTGGACTGTAGTAGTGGATAGGATAAACTCCTCCCTGCGAGATTATTATTTGAGGAGAATCCTAAACTTGGGGATTGTTCCTGTGCTATTGACTACTGCCAAATTTTGTATTTTCCTGCCAACTATCACTGGACAAAAGTAGATATCTTCTCAACAGAGAATAAAACCTGGCATACTTTATAACCCCCCTTGCTGTAGTAACTAATATGGGGTTAGGACCACATGAAACCCCGGTTTTTAATTTAGTAATCCATCTGCTACAGTAAACTCAAAAACACAAAAATCATCATTGCCAAAGCAAGTACTTACTCTGGGAAGTGGAGAAGTTTGAGCTAATTTTCTCTGACCACTAACATCGTGCGTCAAGTCTCTATGGTCAATCTGGATATGACTTTCCAGATCTTCAGCACTCTCAAACTTGACACTGCACTCGGGGCATCTCAGACACAGCCTCTCACAGATGTCTTGTGTGGGTGGGTTGGAGGGTTGTCCATTAGTGGTTCTGCTTAAGCATCCAGCACATAGGCCATAAGGTAAGCCATTAACATCTAACTTTACCAGATCCTGTTTGTTTCTGAATTCCTTTAAGCATAGGGCACATTTATAAATCTTTTGCAATGTTTGTCCATTAGGAGAGGAGGCAGCAGAGTTTCCTGCCAACTTTTGCATATGGAATGTTCCATGAATCTTAAGTTCCAGAGTGGATGTGACAGTCTGCATACAGACAACACAACGGAAACCAGTCAGGGAATTCCGAAGGTCTGGGTGCATCTGACAGTGTTCAATAAAATCTTCTTCACTTTGAAGGGGCATTTTACAGATTCTGCAGGTCCCTGTATCCAAGCTTTTGCTGTGAGTAACTTTGTGTTCAGTTAGCGTTAGCAGAGATGGAAACCGTTCACCACAGATAGGGCACATGTAGTGTTTTGCAGGACCCCTATGTGTCTGCATGTGTTCTCTAAGTCCATTTTCGGAAAAAAACGTTCTTGAGCAGATATTACACTTATGGCTGCCTTTGATGAAATCCGCTTTCTTCCTAGAACCTTCATCTTCTCCAGGTCTGATGTTATGATCTCTTAATCGATGGTTCTGTAGGAGAACTTCCATTGTGTAAGCTGCTCCACAGATATCACAGCCATACATTGGCTCAGAAGCATCAACATCATCTTCACTGGCCTCATGGCTGTTTGAAACTTCTGGGTTCTTCATTAGCACACTTGGGACCTCAGCAGTCTCAGACTTCTTGCCTGCTGGTACCATACCATTAGCTGTGCCATTTTGGCTGCTAGTGTCAAATACACAGTGCTTCTCTCGTAGGTGTTTTTCCAGGAGAATGATTGCGTGGAATGCTTTGCTGCAAAACTTGCAATTATATTTCTTACTGTGAGTAGTAATATGACACTGAAGCTCTACTTCTGTGCTGAAGGTTTCGCCACAGAAGATACACTTATGTGACTTTGCTGGGTTGCCCAAATGACTATGCTTGACATGAAGCTGAAGGTCTGCCTCTTTTCTGAAGTCCCAGTTACATGCTGTACAGCGATACATTTTCTTCTCATTGCTATGCTTTACTGCCAAATGTACTTGGATGGAAACTTTAGAATCAAAGACTTCTTGGCAAAGAGTGCAGTGATATAACACAAAAGTATGCATGTCCAGTAAGTGCTTTTGCAGATCGTCTACAGATGAGAACTGCTTGTCACAGCTCTCGCATACATAATGTGTGGAAGTTGTCATGTAGTGTACTGTAAGGTGCTGTAGAAGGGACTCTTGGGAGTCAAAGTCCTCCTTGCATTGAGGGCAAGACTGTTTTCTTAAGAGAAGCTCCAAATGTGATTTCAAATGTGTCTGAAAGGTTTCAAAATTGGAAAACTTTAAATCACACTGATTACAAGGATACTCTCCATTTGACACAGAGTTTAGGCTTGGACACAGTCGCTGTCTCTTTGGGGAAGAAACTTCAACATCTGAGGAAACTGGACTCTGCTCTGATTTTGACTTCTTATTGTTTGCCAGTGGAATGTTCTTGTGGTTTTCTTTTATATGCTTTGTGAGCTTCAATACAGAACCAAATATGGGAGAGTTTGTGCAATATGGGCACGAATACACTTCCATGAATGACTGAGTTGGCTGAATAACAGGGGATTCAAGCTTTGAGCTTCCTACATTGCAGTGGGTTTGCTGAATATGCTCAGTCAGTGAGGCCTCGGTCAGAAATCCCATAGAACACTGGTTACAGAAGAAAGCATTGTTGCCTTCTTGAGGAGTAGTATTGGGTCCACAATGAGTGATGCGAATGTGTTCTTGAAGGCTGTTAATGTCAGCAAACATTTCAGGACAATAGTTGCAATGAAAGGCAGTTATGTTGCTAAACTGTACCATAGGGTAGGCATGGTTTTTGTGAACCTTTCTCACATGCTCATTAAGGTTATATAGGGTGGGCAAAGAATCCAAACAGATTTGACAGGTGTGGCTTTGTTGTGGTTTGTCCACGTGAATAGTTTTTAAGTGAATCTCCAAGACCGCCAAGCTGTTGAAATCTCTTTTGGTGCAGTAAGGACAGCTGTAGCTAGCCTTGGACCAAGCGTGGCCCTCTTCTCTTTCTAATGATAACATTTTCTTATGTGCTCTTAGTGGCTTAAGTGTTGAATCGGGAGTTGAACTACGTTCAACTGATGCACTGGAGTCTGGTGTGGCGCTGCTCATCGAAGCCACACTTCCCAAAACTGGATCTGGACTAATGCTATGATTGCTCGAGTCAGGTTGCCGATGACTATCAAGGTGACAATAGACTTCTTCAACAGAAGAAAACTGCTCTGGGCACATTGGACACTTGTGCTTCTTGTTGGCATGGACTTGGTCAATGTGGTTAAGCAGAGAGGATTCATCCACAAATACTTCAGGGCAATGGATACACTGCAGGTCTGCTTTCTCTGAAAGCTGAGGATGTCTCTTCATCACATGCTTCTCCAGCTCCTCTGTCTGACTGAAAGTCTCCTCACAATAATCGCACATGAAGTCGTCTTTTTTCATGTCCTTATCTGATTTAGCCAAGTGCTCCTTATTTTTCTTATGAGCCTGCATGTGACTCTGCAGAGAGCTAGTGGAAGAAAATCCACGCTTACACACTGTACATTTAAAAGGCTTGCTAGAACTGTGAGTTTTCAGATGAATTTTAAGGTGATCACTGCGGGAAAATGCAGCCTCACATTCGTGGCAGTGATACTTTTTGTCCCCAGTGTGGAGTTTAATATGGCGATCCCTACTCCTCTTGTGCTTAAACAGTCGGCTGCAGTACGTGCATTTGAAAGGAAGTTTGTCACTGTGGATCTGTTCGTGCCTTTTCAGGTAGCTGAGACGACTGAAAGACTTTTCACAGAACTGGCAGGGATATGGCAACCCAGATCCCCCTTCCTCTTCTCCTATGCCGAGATCACACCCATCTCCTATCATCTGACTGGGTGATGCAACGTCTTTGCTGGAGGGAGATGAAGCCACCCAGGAGAATTGTGGGTCGTCATCACCATCTGTAATGGGAAAGCAGAATGGAGATTAAAAACAATTCCCTGTGCATCTGTGTAATAAGGCCACAGCTCTTTAGCAAAACCTAGGTTTGTTTTTTTTTTTCACCATGCTACATCCTTTTTTAGCAGTGAACAGATAATTCCACAAACAAGGACAACGGATTAAAGGCAGATTACCAACTAAATGTCTCTAAAAATAAAATTACCAGCTATAAATATTAACCCTAAAGTTTGCTACTTCATTGTGTCACTGTATCAAGTTGTTCCTGCCGCCATTATGATAAAAGCATACACATCATTAAAAAGGAAAAATGTGCTAAATGGTATCATTGGAACATTTTATGAATTAAGTTGCCAGTAATAGCATATAGCGCTTACCTTCAGTATGTGAAACTAGATCCAGGTGTCCAAGGGAATGGCAGTCAATGCTCGTTTAACTACCTTTTTGTATTTGGTGGAAAATGTTACCAGGGCCAACCATAAATATATAAAAACATACTGTAGGTGGCATTTAGCTATGTAGTATATATATTAAAAGGATTATACCAGATAGTGCAGGTACTAGAACAAACTGCAGCCAGTATTTTATGCCAAATCCCACTACAACAAACAAGTAAAATGGCAATTTCTAGCTACACAGGTTTTAAAAGGTAAACACTGTTGTAGAAATTAATGGTTCAATTATAGTATTAAAAACATAAACTATTAACTTGCTTATGGTTTTTACCTTTTAATTTATGTTTTCAAGTACTGTAGTTTTAGTACAAGGCCTGGTTCATACCTAGTGTATTTTGTAGCTGAACAAGCGCAACAAAATACTTCGCCCTGAGCGTTTTGTCGCAAGTAGCAAAATGCCTGTCCCTGGGAAAAGTACATGAGCTTCTTTTTGGCAGATTAAAGTGCATTTTCTCCCCATAGACTCAATACCAAACACTTGACGCAATTATTTTTGCGCACTTTTATGCACATTTTCCCATTTACATCAATGTGTCACAGTCTGCTCACAAAAACACACAACTTAATGCACGCACATAAAAATGAGCGAAAACACTGTCCCCTAGGTCTGAATGCAGCCTAAAAGAGTTGTTCACTATTTTACTAAGATAGTTGGCCACAACACTAGTGCATATGCTGTACTTGAAGGAATAAGGTAGGAAAAAGACATAGGTAGTATGTCAATCCCGCAATCAATCCGCTAATCTAAATTAACTGGTTAATTTGGAAGCCCATGTCACAACATATAGCTTATCAACATGCCTCAAAAGTTTTTAATGGTTTATGTAGGCATATTTTGGTAGCAGATTTAGTTGGTAAACTCAACTAAATGACAGCAGAAAATAACTAACCGTCTGCAAGGAGTTTGCATGGCTTTCCTCCCACACTCCAAAGACATGCTGGTAGGTTTATTGGCTCCGGTCTAAATTGACCCTAGTATGTATGCATGCGAGATAGGGACCTAAGACTGCAAGCTCCTTGGGGGCAGGGACTGACGTGAACGTGCGACTGTTAAGCGCTGCGTAAATTGTCAATGCTATATAAAATACCTGTAATAAATAATATCTGTAAATATTGTTAACAGCTGTTTTATATAAGCTCCATTTGGTGTAGGTTGATCCTTTATTAGTCAAACCAAAAACTGAAGTTAGAGAAACAGGACCCCCTTATAAATATATTTCTCTGTTGCCTTGGTTTTTATGGAAGACTTTGGCAGGGGTATGTACATTGCGTAAATTGTCAGCATATAAATACCTGTAATAAATAAAAATATATGACGTGCTTACAAAGTGTTCAACACATGTAAAATGACTAATGGGCTGAGTAATGTGGTATTTGCCATCTGAAGTCACAAATCAGGGGGGTTAGTGGCCTAGGCATAGTATTTTCAATCCCTCCGATCAGTATTCAATACACCACTGGTGAAAACAGAATGGCTGAGATACATACACAACAGTTTATATAATACAGCAACCAAACAGTCCTTGATCACTCATATAAAAATGATGCATTTAATCTCCATTTTGTTAGGTCTTGGAGCTTTTTAAATTCAGCTTCTACTGTGTGAACATTGCACAAGCTTTCAAGGACATCTAACCCCAGTAGAGAGGAGCAGTGTCCCTAGAGTGTGAAATAACAGGAAAGAGTCAGCTGCACTGAGAGATCCCGGGTGTCTGTTGGATGAGGTACAGGGAGAGACAGAGCTGGGTTCTGCTAGACCAGCTGTGTCCTGCATACACACAGACAGAGCACAAAGCTGCGACTAATCAGGGGAAATAATAAACCATTAACCTTAATTTTAGAGATTCACACTGACCAATCCACCACTAGATATCAAACACAGAAGTTCTAAGACAGGACTTGAACCCTGCACATACTGACACATTATAATGTTATAAGGTGAACTAAATCCACTTCTATTAGCACATACCCAAGTTTGACTGGGGACAAGAAAATGGGTCACTAGAACGCTGTCTCAATAGCATTCATTTTATTCATCTAAATAGCACTGATATTCTGTAACACTTTATATTTCCATTGAGAACACTGAACTAAAAGAAACAAACTACCACAATCACACAACACAAGCTTTGCTAAAATTTAGTAGAAGCCTATATGTTTAAAAACCTACAGGAAACACAGACACTGAGAACATCTGAACCTCTTGCAGATAATGTCCCTTGTGGGAACTAAGCACATGACCCAGCACTGCAAATTAGAAGTGCTAACTGGAGATCCTGCTGCCCCTATCTGCAGTGTTGAGACCACATCTACTAGAATATATTTCTGCAGTAAAATATTCATAGTAGGATTTTAAAACAACACAGCATATTTTAGCAGTAATTCAATGTTAACTGAAACATTTGCCTAGTTTTTATTCCAGAAAATTGTAAAATTCCTGAAGAAAGCATTCACAGGAGTTCATGGACTTTACTAGTTTTTCAAAGTAGAAGAAATCTGTACAGGTCTATGGTTCTAAATGAATATACAGACTGATGTCACAGAGTACAATCACCTTGACAGTCTATGGCTGCGCATTGTCATATATTAAAATTATATTAGTAAAGCCACAACTTTTTGGGGCACAGAGTATGCAAAGGACAATGGTTAATAGTTACTGGTTGCATTGAAAGGTTTTTCATTGACTCCACTTTTAGTGACAACTCAAAACTTTAGATTTTCCTTAATTCAGTCTTGCTTGCACTGGCAATGGTTACCAGGACAAAGAGGGAGAGAATATCACTAGCAAGGACACAGGAAGCAATAAAAACCCCCATTAACAGTTATGCAGACGATTAGGAACTTCTATGCAAAAATGTACTGGCTAAACCCAGAATTGTTTTTTTTCACCATTACTTTTACTTTATACTGGCAAGATCAGTAGTGAGAAGATAAAGGTTTTAGTGCTGAACAGGATTATGGTAAATAGTACCTTTTCATAGCCATCGGTACAGTGGACCAAAAAAATAGGCAATTGGGAAGAAAAAGACAGATGGATTTGGGGGACATTTGGGAGATATAGAAAACCATGAACAGGTACTCTGAATACAAACGATATACAAATTCAAGCTGCTAACCTTATCACACCAAAAATAGGTCCAGATGCATCCATGGCCTCGTACTACCATTTCGCCCTTATTCAAACTGCCAAACACGGTTTTCCATATTCCAGCTATTGTCAAAATGCATCCAAGCCACATGATTACCACAATACAGTACAGGTGTGACTGTACCCAAAACTTTGGACATTAGCCACAGATTTTGAAAGTTCTTCCCAAGGCACTTGGGAAGCAATAGAACAGCAATTCCATACTTCCAGGTGTATAAAACAAAAGCACCAGTCAATCCTATTCTGAGTTTACAAAGGCCTAAAGTCTCTGATGTAGAGGTCGCTCACCCCCATCTAATGCTGAAGCCTGAGCAGCCAATTATCAAGGGCCATCATTGTCATCTGGGTAGAAGTGATACCAAGTAGTTTCTGGAGAGTTTGAATTTACGTACACACTACATGATTTTCAGTAGGAACCATTTCAGTACGAATGCGACATTCTTTAGCTTTGAAGCCAACAGTTGGGTAGTGCACAGTGCAAAATCTCCCCCAGGTGAGCATCCATGGAAAATGGAACAGTTCTTACTGCCACCCAGTGTCGCAACAAGTGGCATTAGAGAAATGAATCAAGAGCAGGGAGATTACTCATCATCATATCTACATTTCTGCAATAGACAGACAAATCAAGATCAAGAGGGGTATATAGATTTTTGTGGTGTACTCGGAAATAGTGTTAAGATGAAGTACTGTCTATCTTACCCACTTGCTGACGGGGGTGTTAAAACCCCTTCCGGTCCATGCCATTTTTCAGTATTCAGTGCTGCGGTACATTTACTCAGTCATGCAACGCTGTACTGAAATTAATTTTATACCATTTTTTGGGGACACATAGCGCTTTCGTTTGGTGGTATTTGATCACCACTGGGGATTTTATTTTTTACTATATAATTAAAAAGTTCCGATAATTAAAAAACAAAAAACAAAAAACAACCTGCTTCCCTATGTTATGTTATAAAACATTTATCAGTACCCAATTTTTGACGGGGTCACATCAGGTAAATAGACACCAAACATTTCAAGCTTTAAAATTGTGTGCGCCCACAAAAATCGCAAAAAACTACCATGCCTAAAATTGGCCATAGGCGATGCTTTAAAAGCTTTTACTGCTCATCAGTGTAGTGTTATCAGTGATTAATGGCCTTAAAAGTTTTGCTCACACTCCCACGTTTGCAGTGATATGTAACTGGTGTGGTGTAATAGTTTTCGCACAAAAAGGCACACCTGACGCGTATTTACGTTTAAAAAAGTGTGTGCACACGGGGGCAGGGGACTTTGGTGTTTTTTTTCTTTTAATATGAGACAAATTTTTTCACTTTTTCTTTTTCTAAAAAGCCCCCTATGTGATAGCCAATATGCAACAACAGGTCCTCTTTACGGAGATATCAGGGGTCTCCAAGAC